GCTGCCTGTCCCCCAGACCACTGCCTGCCTGTCCCCCAGACCACTGCCCGCCTGCCACCCCAGACCACTGCCTGTCACCCCATACCACTGCCCGTCACCACTGCCTACCACCCCAGATCACTGCCTGTCACCCCAGACCGCTGCCTGTCACCTCCTGCCCCCCCCCGACCAGCCCCCATCACACTTCCTGCCTACCACCTGCTTCCCCATCACATTCCTTCCCAATACCTGCTCCCCTGTCACACTTCCTGCCCGCCACTTGCTCCCCCAAACCCCCGTCTCACTTTCTGCCCAACGCCTGCCCCCCTTGTCCTTCTTCGAGCCTCCCTGTGTCACATTTTGCCCCTCCACCTGCTCCCTTGCAGCGCCACTTCCTGCCTCCCCACCTGTGTCACTTCCTTCCCCTTCACTAACCTCCCCTAAGGCAGGTCTCACTCCTTGTCCTGGCCCCGTTCTCTTCCCCACAACCCACCCCAGGACTCCCCCACCACTTGCCTCTCATTCCTGGCTGCACCTCGCCCTCTTCTCTCCCTTCCTCTCAACCTTCCCACCCTCACTCCTGCCCGCATTTGTCACTTTACCTGTCTCCCTTCTCTTCACTCCACCCATCTCCTCTCTCCTTCCTGTTCCTGCATTTTCCTGGGTTTCACCTCTTCACTTCCTGCTTGTCCCCCTTCTGTTCTCCCATCCTTTCTCCATGGTCCCCTCACCACCTGCTCCTCTCCTTCCTCCTCCCTCCCCTTCCTTCCCTCCCTCCTCCTTCCCTCTCCCCTTCCTCCTGCTTTTCCTCCCCCTCCCCTTATGCTCTCCCCACCCACTTTCCCTCCCTTCCTCTCCCTCCCTCCCTCTCACCTCCCCTTCTACCCTCCCCTTCCTCCCTCCTTTCCCTCTCTCCTTCCTTCCCTCTACCCCCTTTCTCCCTCCCTTCCACCCCTTTTCTCCAGCTTGTGCTTTTTTGTGGCCTCACTCCCTCTCTCCTCCTGGGTCCTTTCCCTTCCTTTTCTTCCTCTCTCTTTCCCTCTCTGCCCAGGGCAGACAGGACGGGGTGGCATGAGGGCGGCCACACACTTTCCCATGAGTTGAACTGCCAGGGGCAGGTTGTGTGTGTCTGTGTGTCTGTGTGTGTACAGCTCATGCTTGCGCCAGGACGCAGGACCCCTTGGCCTACTCTGTGGGGATCGCCCTGGGTGCTGTTTACCTGCTGGGGCAGGGTATGCACAGCTGCCAGAGAGCTTATCGCACCCCCCAGCTGCCACGGGTGGGACCTGGTGTCCCCGACACCCTGGCACACCCTGTTCATGTCCACAGAGATGGGTGGGGGCCCCCAGAGGTGCTGGGGCCATGTGCATGTCTCCCCCCTCGGGTGGGAGCCAGGAGCAGTGCTGAGCTGGAAGATACCAGTTAAAACTCCCAGTTCAGAGCCCTGACGTGTGCCCACTGCCAGGTTTCCTCTGTGGGTTTTCAGTGGCCGGTCGCTAGCAAGTCCAGCGCCAGGCTTGTCTTCTGAGGCTGCTGCCTTCTAACAGGAGTCTGTACCTTTATAGCGGCAGCGAAGGGTGCTTGCTGTTAGCTCGTGGTCAGCAGGTCTCGGGGCCCTGGCGTCCGGCAGGAGGCCCTGTGCTCCCTTGCTGCTGTTGGTGCCCAAAGTTTCTCTCCCCATGAACTGAGGCCACCAGCTCCGAATCCTATGAGCAGGGACGAGGTGTGGTGACAGGACAGGCCACAGCCCGCCTGTGGACCCCAGGTCCTGGCTAGGACCTCCAGCCAGCATGGCCTCCCCTGTTGCCCTGTTCCTCCAGGACGTCCTCAGGGACCCCACCTGCATCTGCCGGTCTCCTGAGGGGCACCGGGGAGGCAAGTGCTGACCCTATGTCTGCCCACCAGACCTCTCAACTTCTCAAGACCGTGTCTCGGTGTCCCAGCGCACCCAGGTCTCAGAAAGCATCCAGACTGTGGGAGGGGAGCCCAGCTGCGAGGGGTGCCTGCTGAGTCGTCAGGCCCCCAGGGGCTGGCTGGCTGGGGGTCCCTGGTCACCAAGATCTGTGGACCTTGGGACAGGAGTGACCACTGCCCCCAGATATGTGGCGGGGACCCTTCCACAGGGAGGCTGTCCTGCCTGCCTCTCCCTGAAGAACCGTGCGGAGTCAGCCTGGTTGTGTGGGTCCCTGTGTCTGCCTGGGCCCAGGTCATGTGAGGTTCTCATGTCCAGGTGGCTTGTGCGGGGTCCCTGTGTCCTCCCAGGTCTGGCTCTGTGGGGTCTCCATTTCCACCTGGGCCCAGGTCATGTGGAATCCCCATATCCACCCAAACCATGTGAGGTCCTCGTGTCTGCCTGGGCTGAGGCCGTGTGATGTCCCTGTGTGTCCAAGCCTGTCCCAGGCCATGTCTACCCAAGCCAGGCTGTGTGGGGTCTCTGTGCCCTCCTGGGCTCTGTGGGGTCCCTGTGTCTGCCCTGGACTGGGCAGCCTTGCCAGCAGCTGGCCCAGGAACAAGAGTAGAAAGGCCCTTTATCTGAGAGAGCATAATAGACTGGACTCGACAGTGTCCGTCCTGGAGAAGAGGTGAAAGGGTCTGCGGGCAGGCGGTGAGTCGAGCCCCTTGGGGTTTAGAGGACTTGGGGTTCTGGCGCCCCGTCTGGCCGACGTTGCCCAGTCGTCTTGCTTTTTCTCAGTGGAGCCGCGCACCTCCTGGGGACTGGGACTCTGTCCCCAAGTGTACCGTGAGGAGGAACGTGCGGACCTGTCTGCAGCCGGCGCTTGTCAGGACAGACAGAAGCCGTGTCCCCACTGACCGGAGCAGCGCTATGCTGGCCCCCTGTCGGCAAGGAGGGACTCCAGCTGGGGTGTTGTTTGCATGGAGCTCCCTCTGACAGCTGCCAGGACGCTGCCACCCTGCGGGCTGGGCCTTGATCTGTGGCCTGTGTGGCCCGAGACTGGCCATGGGGAGCAGTGCCACGCTTCCAGACGCCAGTGGTCGCCACACCGTCCTCGTCCCTGTGCAGACACGCCGCAGAGCTGGACAGTGGCCTGGCTGTGTCCCCCTTGGTACTTGGCCAGGCAGGCCTAGCTGACTGACTCCCGCTGCTGTGGACACTTGTTTGCAGTTCTGGCCACCATGCCCAGTGCTGGGGTGACAGGCTTTGCATTAAGCTAGACTTCTCACTCATGGTGTCCTGTGAACCCCCTCCTCGTGTCCTAGGGGCCATTGCAGCACCTGCAGTCACTGCCGCGGCCCCCCAGATGCTGCCGGCCTCTGCTGCTCCTCCTGGCAGTGACTGGGCGGGGCCAGGCACTCTGCTGGTCACGCTGTGTGGTCACTGTGGTGACAGCGCCGGGCCATGCGGAGAGCCCTCTGTCGGTCACCCTGTGTGGGTCACCGTGGTGGCACTTGGCCATGCAGAGAGCAGTGGGCATGGCTCGTGAGCCCTTTGTCAATCACCCTGTGTGGTCACCCTGTGGCACCGGGCCAGGTCATGTGGAGAGCCCTCTGCTGGTCACCCTGTGTGGTCACCGTGGCGGTGCAGGGCCACGTGGAGAGCGGTGGGCACGGCCGGCGAGCCCTGTGTGGTCACCCTGTGTGGTCACCGTGGCGGTGCAGGGCCACGTGGAGAGCGGTGGGCACGGCCGGCGAGCCCTGTGTGGTCACCCTGTGTGGTCACCGTGGCGGTGCAGGGCCACGTGGAGAGCGGTGGGCACGGCCGGCGAGCCCTCTGCTGGTCACCTTTTGTGGTCACCCTTTGTGGTCACTCTGCGGGAAGGCACGTATCTTCTTGCGCAGGCACTTCCAGCCCCGTTCTTTTTTAGCGTTCACGTGTGGCCTGAGATGAGGTCAGCACTGTGAAAAACTTATGATGACTGCAAAGCCTCCACCCTGCTCCCCGCAGGCTTTAGGGGTTCAAGTGGCTGCTGTCCATACGCATGCTGTCCCAGTCACACAGGTCTGCCTGATGGGGGCCGGAGGCTCAAGGCCTCAGGACCCAGCTCTAAAGGACATTCCTGGCTGCCAGTGAGTGGGCATCCTGGGTGGAGGGCCTGTGACTGAGTGGACTTGGTTGCTGTGGTCAGGGTCCTAACCCCAGCCCTGGAGTCTTGGTCGTGAGTCTGGAGTTTGTGGGTTTGGTCACGGAGTCCTGACGGTCCTGTGGGGTCTTGAGACCACGCCGGCATCTGCTTGTCACGGGGCGGGAGAGTAGTGTCGCGTGTGCACAGCTTTGCAGAGCTCTATGGACGCTCAGGCTTCTGGGGTCCCTCCAGCCCTGGCCCCTGACTCGGGCTGTGATGTGCTGGCCTCTGGTTCAGACACCACGCTGTGCGTCTGTTACTTGCAGCCCTGATGTGGAAGGTGAGCAAGGCGGCGTGCAGTCGTCATCATCTTCTCAACTGTGTGTGGCCTTGCTCAGTACTGTGGGCATTTCACCAAGGAGGACAGGGCCAGGCCCCGCCGGGAGGACCGTGTCCTCTGTCCTCCTGGCCCTGCTCTGAGACCACCTCATGAGGAATGGCCCGTGGTGCTCTTGTGCCGTCTTGCCTATGGTTGCACTGGGGTAAGGGACAGCCTTTTAAGGGCCTAGACAGTGGAGACAAGCCAGGTCTGGGGGTCTGTGCTGGCCACACCCATTTGGACACCTGTGCTAAGGGGTGAATGGAGTGAAATGTTTCTGAGAAAATGGGGGCCATGGCGATGCTTGAGTTGAGGGATCTCCCTGCAGAAAGGTGTGTCTATCAGCCCAGAGGTGCTCCATGCCCGACCAGGCTGACCCTGTCCTGTACCTGTAGGGAGATCCAGCTCCTGCGGCGACTGCGGCATCGCAACGTCATCCAGCTGGTGGATGTGCTGTGCAATGAGGAGAAGCAGAAGATATATCCTTGTGTGCGCAGAGTGTGCACGGAGAGGCGGGGGTGGGTGGGTGTGAGTGTGAGGACGTGCACGGAGAAACAGCAGGAGACATCCTCGTGCACGTATGTGCGTGCATGCATATTTGTACACGTGGGGAGAAGTGTGTGTGTGTTCATTTGGTCATGTACGTTTGTGTGGGGTCAGAAGGCTCTGGACAAGGTCTAAGGGAAAGCCACAGACACCTTCCTGGACAGGGCCTGCCGGGGCTCACTAACCTCGTGTCACCCCGTGGTCCGCAGGGTCCCTGATTTTTCTTGGCCATTTGTTACTGAGCTGACCTGCAGCTGGACAGTGGGCTTGTTAGCAAGCCAGCCTGGCTTTCTGTGGGCAGGGGTGGTGGACTGTGGAGGCCTCCCCAGGCTGTGAAAGTCCCCCAGAGTGTGTGTGGAGGGCCCCCCTAAGGTTGTGGAAGGTCCCCCAGGGTGTGGAGCCTCACAGGGTGTGGAGCCCGGGAATGCTGGCTTCCTTGACACCGGCACGTATATGGTGATGGAGTACTGCGTGTGTGGGATGCAGGAGATGCTGGACAGCGTGCCCGAGAAGAGGTTTCCTGTGTGCCAGGCCCACGGGTGAGTCCACACGCCCAGGCCCACCTGTTCCTTGCTGCTCCTCCCTCTTCTCAGCCCCCCAGGGCTGGGGGTCCCCCGGCCCAGCCGCTAGTGAGCCCCCCTCCTTGCAGGTACTTCTGTCAGCTGATTGACGGGCTGGAGTACCTGCACAGCCAAGGCATCGTGCACAAGGACATCAAGCCCGGCAACCTCCTGCTCACCACCGGCGGCACACTCAAGATCTCCGACCTGGGCGTGGCCGAGGTGGGCATGGCCGAGGGGAGGGGGCCCCGGGGGTGGGAGGGGGCAAGAGGAGAGGTAGAGGAGGTTGTGGATACTGGGGCAGGAGACAGGGCTGAGGTAGGCCAAGAGGGGCCCAGGGTGGTGAGGGAGTGGGTGCTGGTGCAGGCAAGGGTGGAGGTGGGGGAGGGCACAGATACTGGGTGGATAGAGCGTGGCTGAGGTGAGGCCAAGTGGGGTACACAGATGGGATGGAGATGCCGGGGACTGATGTGAGGTGGGGCAGCATGGGGCAGAGAGGAACCGAGGGGAGCTGGGGCTGAGGTGGGGCTTGGATCTGCCCACAGTGGAGGGTTATGGGACCTGAGAGGGTCTCTGCTGAGTCGCCATCCCGCAGGCCCTGCACCCCTTCGCTGAGGATGACACGTGCCGGACCAGCCAGGGATCACCAGCCTTCCAGCCGCCCGAGATTGCCAACGGCCTCGACACCTTCTCTGGCTTCAAGGTGGACATCTGGTCTGCAGGGGTCACACTGTAAGTGCCGGCTTGCACCCACAACCCAGCTCGCTGAGGAAGGCAGGGCGTGTGTCACTGAGTTCTGGCCTCTGCAGGTACAACATCACCACAGGCCTGTACCCTTTCGAGGGGGACAACATCTACAAGCTGTTCGAGAACATCGGGAAAGGTGACTACACCATCCCCAGCGACTGCGGCCCACCACTGTCTGACCTGCTGAGAGGTGAGCGGCCTGAGGCACGTTGCGGGGGCAGCGTCTGTCACACGGCCTTGCTGTGCCCCGGGTCTTTGGAGCAGGGTCTCCACACATACCAGCCCTGCAGCGTCCACCTCACTTTCCCTTTGGCCGCCAAGGTCTCCTACGACACTGTGTGGTGGGGGACAGGAGAGGGACGGGGATGCACTGGGGTGCTCGGCAGAGCCCCGCAGTGTAGGACGACCCAGGCAGTGCTGGAAGGAGCCCTGATGAGGGTTTCTAGTCGAAAGTCTGATTGGGCCCCTCACCTCTGCCTGGGAGAGGGCATTCCCTGGTGTCGCCGGCCCCTCCCTACCTGCTGACCTCTGTGTCGACCCTGGAGTTGGCAGCAGATCCCAACCTCAGGGCCAAGCAACTCCACCTGTCACCTTTCCTTGAGGAAGCGGCAGGTGGCACTGTGGTCAGCCCAGAGAGAGTGTCCTTCCTAGGAGATCAGCCCTAGATCCTAGAGTGGGGGATGAAAATCCAGGAGGGCGCTGGGACTCTGTCTATCATGGTGTGTGGTTTGCTTCCAAACTTGCCGGACCTTTACCTTCCTGGCATTGGCATCTTAGGGGCCAGGACAGCCATCTGCTCCATTCTGACTTGGCTGGCACAGGCTCTGATCTGCAGCTCTCAGCAGGTCCCATGCCGTGTGACCCCTACGGGCAGTGGCTTGACGTTTGCCCAGTTGGGTGAGCACGGGCCAACTCAAGAGCGTCTCCTGTGTCCGCTCGGCCTGAGCCCTCCTCCCAGCAGAGGCCTGACCTTCCCCCTGCAGAGACCTCACTCTCCCTGCAACGTCAGGACTCACTGGCCAGTCGTCATCACCCACCTTGAGGTGCCCAGTGACTGCCTGGTCAGCAAGCAGGCAGTTCCAGCACAACTTCTGACCAAGAAGGAAGACCTGGCGTCGACCTGCTTATGAAAAGCCCACCTGGATAGGGCGGTCATCGTCCTGGACCATGTCGGCTGGTGTGTCCTCCTGTGGAAGGCGCACGCAGTGCACCTGGGGACAAGCTGCCACCTCAGAGTCAAGTTTGGGAAACACGGTCACCAGTGAAGGGCCTTGTAATGCTGCGTAGTGAGACGACGTCAAGTGTGTGAGTCTACGGAAACAGAACGCTCAGAAATAAGTGGATCCTGAAGGATCACAGCCCAGGCGTCTGTGAGCGAGACTGACGCAGACCATCCTGAACTAATGGGACTGAGGCCAGCTGTGTCGTCATGCCAGGACACCAGGTGCCTGCCGTCCACCTGACGGGGCCTTCTGCCTCAGGGCCACCTCCACGGCCACCTCCAGGTGCTGCATCATTAGGGGAAGAAACACCCTGCTCTCTTGGGATGAGTGGTGGAGTCAGTGTCCGCCTCTCAGGTCAGCAGTTCGGGCATTAGGCACTCCGCACCAGAACTCCTTACCCAGCGGGAAGTGTCCACATCTGCCCATTCCTGGGAAAGGCGATCCCCCAGAATGCTGCATTGTGGACCAGTGTCACCGCCACATGCAAGTGGAAACGTGCAGTCAAACCGCAGGTGAGAATGGCTGGAGCAGTACATCGATGGGGAGCGGCCCGACATCCAGGCTGGACTGAGAAGAGGCTGTGGAATCAGCGCTGTCCTTGCTGATGTTGGGGATCTTAACCAAGAGTGGAGGTCACTGGAAGGGTGACTGCTCGTGTCGTATTGACCCAGGAACGACATCAGACTATAGACTGTAAGGGGTAGAGAAGCCCAGGCAAGAGTGACCATTCCTCCCAGCCGGGGACAGCGTGGGTGCAGCTGTGTCCTTTACACCAGGTCGGTCTGTTTGCCACGTAAATAGCCTAGGGAGTGAGGAGGTGAGGAGGGACACAGCAGCAGGGCTGAGGCAGGTGCGTGAGCGGCCTGTGGTGGGCCGGCAGGAGGAGCATGCTTCCTCAAGTCGAGGTGATTCCACGATGAAGATCGAGACACATTCCCAGGGAGAGACCGATGGAGAGACAGGACAACCATGCTGTAAGTGCTGAAGAGATGAGGAGGGCGTGCACGTCCAAAAACTTCAACAGGGTGAAGAGGGAAGCCACAGCCTGGGAAAGAATATTTGTAATGACATGTCTGATAAGGAACTGATATCTAGAATTTACAGAAAAATCAAGCACCACAACAAGATCAAGGTAAACAATCCAATCACAAAATGGGCACAGGATGTGGACAGACCACCAAAGAAGACATTAAGATGGCAAGAAAATACATGAACAAATGTTCAAAGTCCCTGACTCTGAGAGAGATGCAACTCAAAACAACTATGAGATACCATCTCACCCCAGTATTAGCAAAATTTAACAGAACAGCAAGCAACAAATGCTGGCGAGGTTGTGGAGAAACTGGAACCCTTATTCACTGTTGGTGGGAGTGTAAAATGGTGCAACCACTGTGGAAGGTGGTATGGCACTTTCTCAAAAAGTTGCAAATAGAAATACCATTTGACCCAGCAATTCCACTACTGGGAATATACCCCAAAGAGACCATAACTGACATCCAAGCAGATATATGCACACCCATGTTTATTGTGGCTTTGTTCCCAACAGCAAAGAGCTGGAAACAACCCAAGTGCCCATTAACAAACGAATGGACAGAGAAGCTGTGGTATATTCACACAATGGAATACTACACTTCATTGAAAAATGAGAACTCATGCAATATTATTCAGAATGGGTGACCCTGGAGGACATCATGCTGAGTGCGATATCTCAGTTACAAAAGGACAAACCCTGCATAACGCCACTGTTATAAAAGATGACTGACAGAGAGGTTGGGAGGAACTAAGAAAAGAGGGGATAGATAATGAGCTCTGCACTGAAACAGAAGAGGGAAAGAACTGCTTAAAAGGAATATATGATTAGGTATTTGCATGACGAGTCCAGAGAAGAGCTGCACAGCAGAGTGGACTGGGGCGGGGAATGGTACAACAGTGAAAGATTTTTATTTTTTTCCATAGAGAAGCAAACTGGGGGCGTGGGCAGGGAGGAAAATGTGCAGCAGTGAACAAATGGAAATCCAAGTTTCAAATCTCAATTTAAAAAAAATTAAAAATTGAAAAGAAGAATAAAATAGTTAATAAAAAGGACTGAAGAGGAAAGAGGTCGCTTTCAGGACTAGGGAGTGACTCAAGCCGTGGTGTAGTCAGGTGTCTCGCATGCGGGGAGCTGGGCGATGAGTGACTGGGTGGCCGTAAGACCTTTGAATCTTGGTTGTGTGCCTGGGGCCGCCAGGAGTGCAGGACCCAGGGCCACCAGGATGCAGCCACGTGCTCCTTCAGTCAGGGGTGACAAGACAGCGCAATGGCATGGCCAGGGCAGGCGGGCTGCGGACGGGGATGTGAACCCAGGACCAGGCGGGGTTGGGGCTCTGTGCTGCTCAGGATGGCTGTGACTCAGCGTAGGGATGGCATGGTCCTGGGCAGGACGGCCACACTCACGGGCCGTCAAACCGTGGCTCGGCACCCAGTCAAAGCACTCTGTGGGTCGGGGCCGGCCTGGTCTAAATCTCCATTCTCCCTCGTGCAGGCACCTGGGCCCCACCTGTGTGTCCCCTCCTGACCGGATGCCCCATCTTTCTGGGTGCCCCATCCTGGAAGAATCCAGACAGGGCCTCACTGAGAGGCAGCGGGGCAGCGCTCAGGCTGTGACTGGTGCCAGCTTGTGTCCAGGCCTGGGGCTGGCTCTGCCAGCTTGTGGAGTGACCACAGGTCTTCGTGTAGAGCTGTGAAAATGGCCGTTCAGGAGGAGGACCCCCTCCTCAGGGCACTGTGGGGAGCAGCTCTGTCCCAGCGCCTGGCTGCCCTCCGTCCGCTGACCTGATCCTGTGCAGGAGCTGGGAGCACACACGCCTTCGGGGTTTACATGGTGGCGAGGGGGGTGGACCCTCAGGCCCCCTCCTGTCGTGCTACTCCCAGCTTGGGCAGGTGTGACCCAGCCCTGTGCCCCTCACTCTGGGGCTGGAAGCCCACTGCGTCTCCTCGAGGTGGTCTCTGTGTCTGTCCTGCTGTCCCCTTGTCCCTCCTTGCAGCAGCTCTGGTGGTTAGAGCGCACCTCTTTCTCGAGTCTCTGGGGTTCTCCATGCTGGTGCCCTGGCTTCGAGGGACACCCTTTACTGCTGACCCTCAGCCATGCTCTTGACTATCTCGATGGTCTCTGTGTGTCTGACGCTTCTTGTCCGCAGTGGACACTCGCTGTCTTGCTCTCTCCTGGCTACTCCTTGGTGCCTTATTTATGTGGTCACTTGTCTCTCTGGTCCCTCACCCTCTTTTGCGTGGTCCTGTCTGTTATTCTGTGCGAACGGTGGTCTCGCAGAGCCCCCTGCTGCACTGTGTGTCCCTGCTGTCCACTTGTTTGTCCTCCTGTGGTTGTCCACTGTTGGGATCACAGGCCACGGTAGATGTGGAGGAGAGTGGCCTACAAGCCTGCCTCAGGAGGAGAATCGTCATTTCCTGTTGAAGTGTAATCCTGATGTTACAATGGAGACGGTCCCAGTGTCCGGTTACAGCCGGCCTCATCCAGCAGACTGTGGGTTTTCCGTGGTCGGGCTGAGTCCACGGGCCTTCGCCGGCTGGCCACTCACAACTGCTAAGGTGGTGGCCCATGAGTGACCGTAGCCTTGCTGCTGTTTCCATTTGACCAGACGCCGATGACCAGGCCTTTGTTTTGTGGTCACTCAGGGTAGACCCCCAGCCCTTCTGAATGTGACTGGGCCCTGTGACTGCGTGCAGTGGACATCCGGGTCCCTACCTTCCGCAGAGCCTTTCCACCTTTCCTCCTGAGCGGTGAGACCACAGCTTGTCCTCAACAGCCCCCAGGGAAGCTTCCGACCCGCCGCCTCGGGCCACACCCTGCCCCCTGACAGGCGGTGGTCCTGGCAGTGCTTTGTGCCCAGGCCCCTGTGCCGCATGGACCACACACCTGTCTCCTGAGAAAGGGACCTTTTTTAGGAGTTTGCCGGTCTTGTTCCACGTGTTTGATCTAAAGTAAGTTACACTTACCAAGGAAAGAGAGTTTGCTGTGTAGTAAGCTGTCCTAGGCGACCCCGGGTGAGCGTGAGGCCTCTGGGGACACCTCAGACCTGCCCCCCAGGCTGCCCCAGCCCCCTGCACCCACCGTGCTTACAGCTGTGGGAGCTTCTGGGCATGTCGACAAGGCTTCGGGCCTCTTCTCGCCCTGAGGGAAGGCTGGGTGAGGCCTCTGAGCACCAGTTCTGACTTGCCTACAAAGCTCATGTCATCCTTGGGGACCGTTGGGATGGCCCATGGGGCACAGGCGTCCTGTCAGAGCCACAGACTCTCAGGTCTCCATCCAGGTCACCACGCAGGACACCCGTTGGGGGTCAGTCCCTTAGCCAAGCCATCTGTTACCTCTGAGCCTGGCACCACCTTCACCCCACCATGTGGAGACAGGTTTGTGTCCTGACTTCACGATAGAACTTCTGTTTAGACTTCCCAGCGCTCATGAATTGGTGAACGGTTCATGCCAGCAAGTCACCTGTGACTCACGGTGACCTTCCGAACAGCAGATGTGAATCCTACAGTCTCCTCACCTTACCTTACCGTCTGAAATGCTTGAGCCAGTGTTAGACTCGCTGGGTCACAGCATCTCCTTGGGGGTCTTCTCTCTTTCTCTGACCTTGACTTTTTCAGCGTGATGTCTTTTTTCCAAGGACTGGCCCTTCCTGACAGCGTCCCCAAAGCCTGTGAGCCAAGGTTCCCCCATCCTGGCCTCGGAAGGACAGCTTTATTTGTCCTTTTGGCAGTCTGGGCTCCCAGGGAGCTCTGGTAGCCTAACTGTAAGGAGTTGTGCCGCCAGCCCAAAGGCACGTGGCTCAAAGCCCCCAGCAGCTTTGCAGAAGAAACCTAGACAGTCGCCCGTGCAGTTCACAGCCTCTGAAAAGCTGCTAGAGGGGCAGCTGTGAGTCTAAGTAGCTTGACCCTCCCCAGCCAGAAGTAACCGTTTCCCTAGAGAGTCCCAGTGGCCTAGAAGGGAGCGCTGGCGGCAACGAGCCGCACTGCTAACCCAAGGGTGTGAGGTGCACGTCCGCCAGCTCCTGCTGGGGAGAAAGATGGACGGGACAGCCTCTGCATCCGCCAGGCAGTCCTCAGCCAGCACAGCCACAGTGGCCTCGTGGTGAGGAGGTGGGCTGCCAGCCAAAAAGCACATAGTTCGAGTCCACCAGCTACTCCAGGAGAAGGATGGGCAATCTCCTGTCATTTTAACACCTGAAAGCTACCTGAGAATGAGCCAGGAGCTGCCCGTAACAACACTAGGAGCTCAGGGCCTCCAGCACCACCATTCACACCAGCTCTGCTGTCGTCTTTATTCCTTACCTCACTCGCAGGTGCACAGGAAGCAGCTGAAAAGGCCACGCTTGAGTGAGGCGCACCCCAACCTCCAACTCTCGTCTTCCTTGCTCACCAGCACTTCGGAGAGGGCTTGGACAGCAGATTTCCACAGGGCTACTTGTCTTGGATTTCTTGACTGCTCTTACCACGAGTGTTGGTTGTGGATCCAAGTAAAATGAAGTCTGATAACAGTCGTCTTCTCCATCTGTCGTGATGTTGGCTGGTCCGGTGGGGGTTTTCACTTTCTTGATGTTGAGGTGTCATCCGTATTGAAGTCTTTGATCTGCAGCAGGAGCTTCAGGTCCTCACTTTGAGCAAGCAGGGCTGTGTCACCTGCATTAACAGCTGATGCGTCTGCTTCCAGTCCCAGCACCAGGTTCTTGACAGCGTCCAGCGTCTCGCATGGTTTCCCATTGTGGAGATTGAATGGGTGTAGGGAAAGGAGGCAGCCCTGACACACACCTTCCCTGGTTAGAAGCTGTCTTGCTTAGGGTTTATGTTTTCACGTGAACACACTTACGTGTTCTGAGTCCCATTCTCTGTCATCCATAACTTGGTCCACAAATTTGTGTGTTGTGAGTTGTCTAGACACATGTTCAGTCACATGGAGATTTGAGAACCGTGCTTCAGGTTGAACTGTTTGGGTGAGACATGAAAGGACTCGAGGGGCATGGAACGTGCTGGTTTCAGTGGCCAGAGGTGTGGGTGCTGCCACGTTTCTCCCTCGCTGTCCTGGCTTCAGTGTGGTTGGGGCCTTCTCCTTGCTTGAGTTCCAGGGAATTCCTTGAGCGTCTGTCAAACCTGGTCCACCCGGCATGCCGCTTTCTGAGACTGTCCTGGTTCTCGAACATGGGATGTCTCTGTCCCTTAGGTGTCTGGCTCTCTGCAGCTCACACTGTCCACGGGAGCAGCCTTCAAGCCTCTTGACCACTACGCTTTGCCCCTCAGGCCTCTCCCATGAGTCAGCTCCACAGTGGGCCTGGGTGGTTTGGCCCCCCACCAGCAGAAGTGACCTGTGGAGGGTTGGGTCCGTTTTCTTTCATGGCAGAGGCTGGGCAGACGGACATTTGTACAGCACTGAGCCACCTGACCTGCTTGTGTCTCCTCAGGGATGCTGGAGTACGAGCCGGCCCGGAGGCTCTCCATACAGCAGATCCGGCAGCACAGGTGGGACTGGGGGGGGGGCCGGGGCTGGGCTGGGGGGGTGCAGACCTTGCAGAAGGCCCCTGGTCCCAGCTGTGAAGTCGGGGTACAGCTCAGGGTGCCCGCGGGTGCGGTGTCTCCTCAGGCGTGGTCTGGAGCGGCCTGGGATGACTGCTCTGCACGTATCTGGGGTTCAGAGTGTGGGTCAACTTGAGACGCCCACATGAGTAGACTTACTGGGCCAACCCTGCTGCACCCCCATCCCACCCCAGCTGGTTCAGGAAGAAGCACCCGCTGGCCGAGGCGCTGGTGCCCATCCCGCCCAGCCCAGACACCAAGGACCGTTGGCGCAGCATGACGGTGGTGCCCTACCTCGAGGACCTGCACGGCTGTGCCGGCGAAGTCGAGGACGAAGGCCTGTTTGACCTCGAAGACGATATCATCTACACGCAGGACTTCACAGTGCCTGGTGAGCCCCCGTCCTCAGTCCTTACAGAGCCTGCACCCACAGCCTCCCCGATAACCTCCCAGATAACCCCGACAGCACACCCTTCATGGGCTCCCTGAGGCAGCGCCCTCACCCATGCACATGGGACCCTTAGTTACAGGAGCCGTGTAGGTCAGAGTGATGGGCACCTTGAGGGTGAGGGCCAGCAGGAGTTTAGGGGTCCCCGCTGCCCTGACACCCTGCTGCCTTCTTCCCCAGGTGACGAGGACACTGAGGCAGGGCTTAGAGAGGAGACAAGTTCCCAGCGCAGCGAGGGTTCTGGCCTTCGTGACGAGGACACTCAGGCAGTCCTAGTGCAGGAGGACGTGCTGCAGGCCTTAGCCTAGTGGCCTTAGGCCGTGCCCACCGTGCCCACCAGCCCTCGGCTGAGGGCCCTTCAGCCTTGCACTTCTTCGCTATTGGAGACTGTCTTTGTTCTCTGCTGGGGCTGGTTCTCAGGTTCTGCCTCATAAAAGGTTTGGCCCACTGGCCTGTGTCTGTCTGGGGCGGCATCCGTATCTCTCCAGACCCCTCCCACCCTGCTCCCTTTTCTGTTGGCTGTGATGGAGGTAGGCTTTAGGAGACGTGGCCTAAGAGATGGTCTCCTACGGCTCAGGTGGGTGCGGACCCAGGGCAGGTTCCCCCACACCTGTCTCTGCTGCAGAGCTGAGTTCCCACCTTGCCCAGCTCAGCTCAGAAGCCAGTCCTTAAGCCTGGTGGGGAGTGTGTGCCCAGGGAGAAGGGGCACTGTGGGCAGTCAATGTGCAGCACATGGTCTGAGGACCCAGGACCCCACGGAGAGGTCAGAGCTGGAACCCAGCTCAAGTGCTCTTGAGTTGCCCGCAGATCAAGGCCACGTGTGTCAAAGCAGAGTGAGCTGTACAGATGGACAGCGCGGAGACAGACAGCGGAGTGAGCACAGACGGATAGCGCGGAGCAAGCTGGATAGACGGACAGAGCAGAGTGAGCCAGACAGATAGACAGCGCGGAGTCAGATGAACAGAGCAGAGGTAGCTGCAAAGACGGACAGTGCAGTGAGCCGATGGACAGACATAGCAGAATGAGCCGTATACATGGACAGAGTGGAGTGAGCCAGACAGACGGACAGAGCAGAGTGAGCCGTATAGACGGACAGAGCGGAGTCAGACGGACAGAGTAGAGTGAGTCATATAGACGGACAAAGTGGAGTCAGACGGACAGAGTGGAGTGAGCCGTACAGATGGACAGAGTGGAGTGAGCCACACAGACGGACAGAGCGGAGTGAGCTGAACAGATGGACAGCACGGAGTCAGATGGACAGTGCCGAGTGAGCTGGACAGACAGCGCAGAGTGAGAGGACAGACGGACAGTGCGGAGCACATCTTTTAACGACTGCATGTGGGATGAAGTTGCCACACCTTTCCTATGAGGCGCCTCTGGGTGAACTAGAACCTTTGACCTTCATCTTCTGCTGCGTGGCCTCACCATCGACCCTCCCTGTAACTGAAGCCCAGATGTGTCTTCCATGCTTGCCCAGAGCCAGGGGTGTCTCCTCGGGTCGCTCGGTCCTAGGCTGACCCCCGTGACTCTCACAATTGGAGGGCCAGCAGGCCCTGTGCGTCTCTGTTGTGAGGTTGGTAGGAGGTATTCACACTGCCCTGTGGGTTGCCCCTGTCCCTTTGAGGCAGAGCAAAGGCACGGGCAGGCCGGGAGCCGGGGTCGGGGTTAGGCACTGCCCCATGCTGCCCTAAGGAGCCTTTCCAAACAGCCTCTCCACTGCATGTTGGTCATCTGAGCCTGGACATGGAGCCGAGCCCAGGCCGATGTTTCCTCAGATGACCTGCACCCCGAGGGGCCTGCTGCCCAGCAGCCTGCCTCTGACCTGCCAGCCTCTCTGGCCTCTAGTCTGCAGAGACCCTGGGCAGTGGGTGCAGAGGCCAGGCGTCCTAGGTGGATATCCTCCCTGTGCCTGATCCTAGATGGCCAGGACAGCCCAGGGGACACCTCTCCTGACAGAGTCTCAGCCCCCCTTTACCCCTGAGCCCAGATTCCTCCTGCCTGGCTGCATGTACCCAGCCACCAGCATCAGCCCCCCAGGCTCAGGGTGCATGAGGACAGTGTGAGAGACTGGCACCTCACATTGAGGTAGATGGCAGGGTGGGGTGTCCAGCTGGATCCGGGGACCCCACTTGAGCTTTGGGGGGCTGTGCGCCACTCCTGAGACGGGGTCTCCCGCACCCCCCTCAGTGGCCCCTAGGCCACAGCATGCTGCTGCCAGAACTGTTGAATCACGTGCCCCAGGACTGGCAGCATCCGGGCTTGGTTTCTTCACCTGGCGGCTGCCTGCTACCCTGGTCTGTCCCCTCGCAGGTGAGACAGGCCAGTGTCCTCTGCCCTGTGCCCCATGGCCGTCGAGCTGGGCAGGCAGCACTTACAGAGGCCTCTGGCAGAGGTGCAGCTCCAGCTGTGCTGCAGGCCTGCGTCCAGGTGCCCAGGGGGCTTCCAGCAGGAGTGGAGGGTGTGCTGGGAGACGAGCATGGGCCACTCAGCTCCTGCTCAACACCCCTCGCCATCTTCCCCCCCAGGACAGGTCCTGGAGGACGATGCTGGTCAGAACGGACAGAGCCGGGGCCTGCCCAAGTCCTGGTGCATGAATGGCACCGAGGCAGCCCAACTAGGCTCCAGGTCAAAGGCTGAGCGCCGGGCCAGCGCGGCCTCCAACCCTGCCCGCCGGGCATGCTCTGCCAGCAGCAAGATCCGGCGGCTGTCGGCCTGCAAACAGCAGTGAGGGTCCTCCCACAGGTGCGCGGGGCCCCAGGGGAGGGCTGGGGGTTGTCCTGTCAGAGGATTGGGGGTGGTTCCTGTAAGCCAGAGGGGGGCCGGGTCCCTATCAAGCCACAGGAGGTTGGAGAACACAGGGCACGGCCAGGGACTGGTGGTGGGCATTCCGTATAAGCCAGAGGTGGGTTGGGGGTTTTAGGAGCCATGGGGGTAGCAGGGGGAAGCAGGGGAGGGCCAAACTGGCACAGTAGGAAAGGTCTGGGCCAGGTGGGACCCGGGGTCCCCCTCTGCGGGACTCTGGCACCCCGGCTGTCATCAGCTTTAGTGTGCCACAAGCCACTGACAGGCCACCAGGATCCCCCACCCTCGTGGTGGCTCCAACCCTGTTCTCGGGGTCCCTGCGCCCAGGAAGAAGTGCCTTGGGGCCCATCCTGGCAGTCAAGGGTGCTGATGCTGACTGACCCTGAGGCCTCAAGGCTCCCTTCTCCCGCCCGAGTGCCCCACTTTTAAGAAGCCCAGGTCTGAGACCCTGAGATATGTCACCTGTTCAGGACAGCGCCCTGCCCACACACATTCTGGTTCCCTGCTGTGAGCTGCCAGGTGGGCCCAGCGGCGCCAGGCAGAGGTGCTTCAGGAGGCTGTGTGCGGGCAGGCTCCAGAACGCAGCGGGCTGCAGCCACATCTCTCCCGGGAGGTAGAGGCGGCCAGTCGGCGAGAGCCACTGCTCACGAGCCCCAGAGTGACCTACCTGTCCTCCCTCCACAGCTCGCTGCCAGGGTCCCTTGCCTGGTGCCATGTCCCAGACCCTTGGTCTTCCCGTGGACTCAGGGGCGCCTCCATCGGGGAGGAACCTGCCACGCCCTTGGAGGGTCAGGGCACAGGGACAGCGGGGATGGGGCCCAGCCCTGCCCGCAGTCACCTGCACAGCACCTGTCGCCCATTGACACGATGTCCTGTGGACTTGCGGCCTCCCCAGGAGGGGAGGGCCCGGGCGCAGGCCGAGGTGTGGCCGCGAAGCCATCGCAATGCACTTTATGTTTAGACTACTGGTGTCTGCCCGCCCCGTCCCCGCCCTGCTCCGGAGCCTCCCGGCTAGTGACGGCGAGGACAGCCCCGCGCCGGGCCAGGCCGTGCCATGCATGCCCACCCGAGGGGCCCGGCGCCGCCTTTGGTTTGTCTGTTTGGTTCCTTTTTAAAAAAAAAGAAAAAAATAAACAGGTGGATTTGACGTGGTGTGAGGGGTGCTTGGTGATGCGGGTGGACAGCAGGGCGTGGGCGGATGGGTCACTGCAGGTGGCCGTCAGCCCCGCGTGGACCAGCCTGGATGGCCCAGCGTCCCCAGACCCACTCCGTTCGCGGGGCCCAGAGAAGACGTGGTGCAGACAAGGGTGTGCAGTAGATATTTATAACCCAAGGGGACACGATGACGGCGCGGAGGCCGCCCCGTCTTTTGGCAATAAATAAAGCTTGGGACACTTGAACCCTGGCCGCGTGGCTCCTTTCTCGCTCTGTTAACACTGGCGGCGGCGCCTTGGCTCCTCTGGATGCAGCAGGTGCGGGGTGGTGGGGCGGGCAGCCCGGTCACATGCAGGGACACGGGCGCGGGGTGGCCGGAGTGGCGGCAGCGGAGGTTATTGCTCAGAGGGGCGCAGATGGCCGCGGACACTCGCCGCGATGAGGTAAAAGGCGTGGGGGGCTGGCGGGCAGCGCGTCCGCTCCTGGAGGCCGGGGGTTCACGTCTGCCCTTGTGCACAGTGGCTGGCAGCGCCCCGCTGGACGAGGCCTGATGCCTCCCGGGAGACGGCGCATGCGTCTCGGCGCTCCAGCTGTTCACCAGCCCCGGGTCGCCCGCCACCCAAGCCAGTGGCAGCTGTCGCACGACGGTCTTTTCTGCCCCACGGCCACTGTCGGGGCCACAGGCAGTCCGATGGTCACCTCCAAGCATCACACCTCAGGATGCTCAGGGGACCCCACAGCATGCCCGCTAGGCCAGTGCGCGTGCGCCCTGCGGCGGCGCCGAGAGGCCGGAGACCTTTGGGGGACTCTGGGCGGGAGTGGGCAGCACGGGTGTCTCCCGCCCCGAGGCCCCGCACAGAGCTGAGAGAAACGAGGTGGGTGAGGGGCTTAGACCGGGCTGTGATCCGGGGACGTGGGGGCGGCAGCAGCCAGCACCGGGGCAGCGGCGATGGGCTGGGGGAGGGGTGGAGGGAAGAGTCTCTCTTCGAGGCCCGCTGCCAGCTTGTGCAGCAGTGACTCCGAGGGCTGGACGCATAGGCCGGAGCCGGGGCAGCCGCCGCCGCCGGGCTCCTCCTCGATGACCGGTATAGCTGCAGCCGCGTCGTCGGGCGCACACACCATGCGCGCAGGCGGGGGCGGGCCGTCCACGCTGTCACCG